CCAATTGGTGACTTGCCCTATGTGCTCTTTCCCTGGCTCATGAAGCTGTACATGGGCTGCCTGGATATGAAGGAGTATTGTAAATGCTGCTTCAGCAGAAGCTGAATGCTGGTGGAGTATGCCATTGGGCATCTCCAAGGTGCACCGGAGGGCCATGGAGATCCTTCCCACTTAAAGATGTCAGTACTTCCCCTGCTCTGTGTGGGACACAGGCAGAGGCATCAAATTTATGTGAGGCCACGGGAGAGGTTTTCTGTTATACCTGGATGCAGGAAGCACAGTGTCTTGAGGCTAGCCATGGTGTGTCCGTACCTGAACCTATGTACCCGGGGTACAACTGCCAGAGAGTGATTGTCAGGAAAATGTTGGGAGATCACCTTCCAGGACTCTTGGACACAGAGTTGTAGGGGGAGGTTATGAGAGAGGAGTTCAAGGAAGTCTCAGGACTTCTTTATTATTATTTGTAAAATGGTTGTTTTTATTAAACCTTAAGAACAGTAAAACCCAACTCTAAGGCAAATTCCTGAACTAGTTAACCAGTGCTTTGGGTGCTTATAACAGAACATTTATTGTCTGTGTCACCCTAATCCCTGGGCTGCTGGGGCAGGAGTCCTCCATGGAAGAGGGGAACATAGCCTTTGGGCTGGCTGGGTCAAGGGGAGTGGAGGCAAGGAATGGGAAGAAGTTTCTTAAGGGGACTGCCCCACTGAGCAATACACCATTAGTGTCCTGCAGTGACAAGATATTAAGTGCCCCATTAATTAGGCTTCTCTGATTACCCAGAATCAAGGGAACCATCCCCTTGACTGGACAACATGATGTCCCTGCAGTTATCACTCAAATATTTCCCTTCTGGAAAAAGGGAGGGAAGGGACAGAGTACAGTTTCATGGGGGACTTGGCAGCCATCTGGGTACACCAGAGATGCCAGCGCTCACAGTTTCTACCAGCCTACAATCCAGTGCAGTGGGCACTGCCCCAGCTTTGCTGCTTACTTCATCCTGCCCTCCCTGGTACAGGCTGGAGATGCCCAAATCAGAGGTGGCTGCCATATTTCCAAGTCTGTCCTGAACCTCTGGACACCTGTCCTACCACCAAGTGTGGCCACACCCTATTCCAGTGGCCTTCCTCCACAGAGTCATGGTGAGGCCGTGGGTCAGTGCTCTCTGACTGTTGCAGTGCTGGTGCAGTGGGACTTAAGAGGAACTACCATGTCTTGGACCCCTTGCTGTCCCTCCTGGCTACTGGGTCTGAAACAGTGGGTGTTGTGGCACTGGGTTGCAGGCAAAGGCTGTGTTGGGTTGCTTGAGGGTCCCATGCTGCAAGGGTGAGTTGAAAGCTTTGAACAAACGTTTGCCTGGAGTGTCAGGGAAAGGTTTGTTACCTGCAGTGTTGAGAAGACTTGTGTTAGAACTGTGGGGAAGGGACTTTGCACGGTCAGTGTTGGCCATGGCTTGCAAGGCAAGAGGCATTGCAGTGGTGAGAGTGCTGCCAGGGCCTGCTGTGAGGTGGAGGACATGGTATCATTGCTAATGGTATCCAGCTCCTCAGTGAGTGTTGTCTTGGAATTGCTGGATACTTGGGATGCTGTGTCTCCAGATTCAAGTCCTGGGACACCATGTACCTCTGACTCTACCTGCTTCTAGGGGACTGGACAAAGGGCACA